TTGTGACTTATGATTTCCAATGAAACTGTTTTGTTCTTCGTTATTACTATTCCTTTGTCTCACACCTCTGTCTACTGTCTGTATTATGCCTTTCTTGTACTTTCTTCTCTTTCTTTGTGTGCTACATGGAGGGAGTGTGGCGACTTGAACTGGCGCACATATGTGAAAAGTTTTATCTTGAAAACAGACAGACATACTGTAATCCTAAAAATGATGATGATAAGCATAGTAGTCAATACTGAATGAATACTCATTGATACCGCCGTATACGATTGAATTCTCAAAAGCCTTTTTTTCTACGCTTAAACATTATGCCTAAGTCATAAGACAATAAAAAGAGAATCCTTTTTATTTGTACCGCATTCACATTTGTTTTATTTCTATAGTCTTCGTTAGAAAATTATTCTAATAGTCATAACGATAACAACTTGATTCTAGACAATATATGTGAACACCGGGTATAGTAAAGGAACTTTAAACAAAAACGTGCTCAGCAGTATAAATGTGTGATGCTGTACTCTTCCATCTGCAACAATATCTCTAATCCTCTACGATAAATTTTCGTTCATTTTCATTGAGAAATGCTTTGCACAATGACACAATGACAACAAACTAAAACTATGCGTGAGTTCACTTATCGATCCAAAAAAATAGAATGAGAAGATTACGACAGTAAGAAATACAGTATACTGGATGGAAATTTAGATAGCCTAGTGATTTGAGTAGGCTATCGGTGGCATAACTACTACAACCAATACATGGCATTAACACATCTAACGCGAAACTCGCCTAGTCAACCAACCTGCTAGTTTTCTAGCCGGTACCAAGTCGAGGTAGAGAGAGAGAGGATTGGGCGTAGGGGCTGGTAACCCTACACCACTAAACCTATCAGGGAAACTTCAACGCAGATAAAAAAATTTTAAATTACAAAAAATCCAAATAACACTTTTATTCTAAGCTGGAATCAGAGAGGCGAAATAACACCACAGGCTGGTGAAAGCCTTCAAGAAGCCAGTTAGCCAGCCGACGTGTCTTTTCTAGATGAAAGCAAGAATAAGAATGGGGATATGGAATGTCCGTACAATGTACGAGACTGGGAAAACTGCTCATGTAGCCAACGAAATGCGAAGATATGGCATAGAAGTACTGATTATCTGCGAGAGCAGACGGCGTACATGTGGACTGTCAAAAGTGTCAACTGGACAGTCAGTCCAGTAATCTAACCCGGTCACCCAGATCACAAAGCAGAGGCAGCTATCATGATGTCACCAGTGACAGCCAGAGCCCTAATGCATTGGGAAGCAATTTCATCCTGCGGGATCACGACAGCACGATTTAACTCAATGGGAAGGAAGGAAGGAATGTCACACTCGTCCAGTGCTACAAACAACACACAACAAGAGAAAAACGAAGATGTCTACTACAAGCAGTAATGGACAATATCCTGAATGGCGACATCAATATCACAATGTGAGATAAGAATGACATACTGGGAGCAGACAATACAGGAAGAGAACTCATCGTGTGTCGAGAGGCTATTGTCAAGCGAAATGAATGAGCACGGAGAACTCTTCACAGACTTCTGTGCTTTCAATGATTGTGTGATTGAAGGCAGTGTGTACAAGCACAAGGAAACACACAAAGCAACATGGATTTCGCCTGACATACCACAAATCAGATAGATTTCATCTCGATGCAGCTCAAGAAGGTGGAGGTGCAGCCAACCTGCTGGATACAAAGTCGAGAAGGGGAGCAGATGTGAGCTCAGACCGTCATCTGCTCCAAGGAACCTTCAAGGCGAAGCTGAAATCCTCCGGAACAACTGGAGACAAACGATGATCCTAGTTCAAGATTCAGAAACTGAAAGACGAAACCACAAGGGATACCTTCACTACAGATATCAGCGCAAAGTCTGGGACACCATGCGGCCTCACTTAAGAAAACGGTGTGGAACAACATCGGCGCTCTCTGAAGGTGATTTTCATGGAGACGTGTACATCTGTTCTGGGAGGAGGAAGAGACAAGATAAGGAATGGTTCTCAATGCACACCCAGGAGCCAATAGAAGAGGGGAGAGGAGGAAGAGGATGAAAGCGACGACTCAATGCAAAGATGGAAAACAGAATGAGAAATTGAGCTCAATGCACATCGCACAGAATAAAGAAGTGAATAAGATTGCTGGGAAGAACAAAAGACAATTCTACAACACACTGGGAACTGAAGCAAAAAACAGCTGGTGGCAGGTTTAAAGAGACCTTGGAACATTATATCAGATAACCAGGTCTCTATTCGAGTAGAGACCCACCCAGAGGATGAAACCAATAAAAGATGTTCAAAAGAACCCAAGCGAATAATAACAATACATCTAATACTATTTCACTTCAATAGTGTTTAATATCACTGAGACTAAACACTACGTAAAAACAAACTTCACAAAAGTATGTAAAGTTTAATGGGGATCATAATAAACTGATATATGAATAACTGTCTGTAGTTAATTGCTTTGAAAAGCCTTCTGACACAGTATTCACCCACAGAGACGGATTAACAAGACAACATAGAACCAATCACAATAGCACATGCATTTATTTTACGATATACACCATGCATAAACGCCTTATTTTAAATTAACAAAAGACAATTCAGTGAAGAAAACTTTCCGATGAATCAGTGCTAGAAGAATACAACAAAGTGGAATTATCACAAAAAACCAAACATTCAGGAATCCATACAACCATTGACTGATTTACACGCTTTTATAAAAAACCAAGCAGACTAGTGTATTTTTGTAAATGTGTTAGAAGAGAATATGCATAGATCGGTTTATATCAACGGTTTCGCAACAGCATATGAATCGGTAAACACACACACACACACACTGGAGCGACTTATACAGGTAATTTATGAATTGCATATCTTCGATTACACGTTTTGTCATCTCAGTCTTCACTATCAGCTGTTATTCTCCCTCTCTTGCACTCCTTGTTAAGGTAGAAGATGAGGGACTAAGTAAAGGAAAGCTCATTTGAAATTTGGTATCTCTACATAGCCAAATTATGCACACCATATCTTCAACGCATCATTTGCACGAATTTTCTATGTTGTACCTTCATATTGTGTTTCTTTGTGTACCTTTCACATCTCCCACGTACCTTTGCAACGCTGTATCATTTGCTTCCTCTGATATCAAATCTAACTTCCCCCTATTTGATGTTTTTATGCCGACGAGCTTCTCCTTACATATTACTGATGAATCTCATCAGTAGCAAATGCCACATCCTGAGTATTCTCAGCACTGCTTGACCTATTAAAATTATGCTGCTATGCCTAACTCAATATCAGTTTGCACTATTCATTTCAAAAAAGCCTATAAAACCATATATAGTAAATGTTTCAGAGGTCCTCCCAAAATTTCTCGTCCCAATACACTCTATCGGCTACAATAACGGTCGGTGCTAGATCGTCGTGCATGTACACTACACCTCCTCCTTTCAATCCTCATATCATCCCGTCACCACCACCACCAATCACCGATGGCGACGGTGATTCTGTGCACAGTGCGCATCTCTCATCCACACGTGTCGTCAGTGCACCAACTATCAATCAGTGCTGCGTCTTTCATCTCTGCACTCGATGCAGGCAGAGATGTGACAGCCGTCGCCTCACTCCACCGACCACTTCACCACTCCAATCACTCCCTCACAGATATCACAGTGCCATGGCCACCTGTCTGTGACAAGCCATCGAGTCAGTGTGACGACACACTGGAAGACACAATTCAATCTCCACCAATATATGTATGTGTGTATGGACATAGAAGTGGTTATATATAACCCTGTGTGTGTGTGTGTGTCTGTATCTATATCTCTCTCTATATATATGAATGTATTTGTATATATTCCCTCTTGTTAGACGTCACTCTCCACTCTTCATTCGTGTCCACGTGTGTCTGTGAGTCTGAGTCAGTCTGTGTCTTGTGGTTTGAGTTTTCGAGCGTGAGTATGGTGGCTGTCGTGGGTTCGTAGGGTGCACAGAGTAAGCCGTTTACTTGATCAACTGGTCACATGACTGAATCAGTGCCATCAGTGTCGTCCGATTTACGAGTGCACCACTGCTGCATTTGTCACCCATCAGGGTAGAGTTCATTGACAGTAGGTGGCCTGAACACTAGAAAATTCCACCTCCATTTCCTTGTATTCGTCCCCTTACACCTCACATCTCATTCATCCAATACACCACACCACACCACACCACACCACACCACACCACACCACACCACACCACCCCCACCACAAACACCAACATCAACATCATCATCATCATCATCATGCAACGTCATTTCAGTCATCTTCAAGACTTCCACTCCTCCCATTCTCCATCCTACTCCTACTCATCGTCTTCCTATTCTCCTATCCACTCCCACTCTCCATGTCACATAAGCTCACTGGACAATGCACACGGTGATACTCATACTGCATTACTGACTGAACGATATTCCGAGCACAAGTTATCGCTGCCAATCAATCACCACGTGAATCTCCTACACATTGGTGTCAGTCAAAATTGCACGTGAGTTAGTGTCAGTGTGAGTTTGATTGTAATGTTCGGTGTGTTTGTGTTGATTTGTGAGGGTGTATGTGTAAGTGTGTGTCGTCACAGGGAACTGTGTGGTCACGGTGACGATGAGTGTGTGTGTGTGTGTGTGAGTTGCGTTCAAAAGTGCGCTATGAGCAGACACTGACACGGTGCTAGATCGGATCCCAGTGGCTTAATGGTCCACGAGCTCGCCTAGGAACCAGAAGGTCTTGGTTTCGAGCCCCAGTGGGTGCGCAATGATTAGGTATCAAAAACTAGGAAGAAACAGCTGTCCAGCACGTCCAGATTTCCCAATGGTTCCTTAATCGATGTCAGTTCATGATGATATCCTACAACCAATCAAATCCCTGCAAACCAACACTTGAAAAAACTTATATATCATTCGAAGGAAAAAAATATACTCACCTGATTCAGAATGTTGAACAAGTTCACCACCGAAAAGGTCTAAAACGCTAATATTTGAAAGATCAGAATTATCACTGGATACTATTGATTTTCTCTTTCTTACTGTTGACAACATTTTGGAGTGGTGAATTATAGGCAAAGGAAAGTTGGACAATTCCACGATGAGACGACAAATTTGTGCAAAAAGATCAATAAAACTAACTGGTAATGTCGTAGATAATGACTGCTCTTCATACTTTACACGGAATTTTCCATCACTCTCTTTTTCATTGACACTTGTACATTCCCTGTTTTCCTTGGATTCCTCCTTCATGATGAAAACATCCTTTTGGTGTTGTTGGTCAATACATATTTTACGCACGAATTTATTCATCTGAATTTGTCACAGAATCAATAATGATGATAATGATAATCAGAAAATAGAATTTAGATAAAAAGTAATCGCAAATTAATAATTTGATAGACAAATAGGCATGTTAGGAAATAATAATGTAGTCAATTTGAAACTCCACACACTGGCAACTGGCTCTATTATGCTGGGAATTACCTGAAGTTCTAGTGGGAAGCCATGACTGATGGCGTTCACCAGGTCAAATAAGAGAACAATTATTCGCTTATAGCATTCTGTCTGTCTGTCTGTTTTCGACATAGAACTTTGCACTGATGTGCGCCAGTTCAAGTCGCCACATTCCGTGTAGCACGCGAAGCAAGAGAAGAAAGTACAAGAAAAGCATAGTAGAAACAGTGAGCAGAGGGGTGAGACAAAGGAGGAGTAATAACGAAGAACAAAACAGTTTCATTGAAGATCATAAGTCACAGGGAGTGGATGCATCTGCGCTAGCCATTGAGAACGATTTTGAGCCATGTCACCAATTGTTTCCAACCATAGATTTTTACCGTCCCGAGGACCCCAGCCTGGAAGTCTACACCTTCCTACGTGGCTTAGACCAACTGTTGTGGATTTCATTGACTGATGCCAAGTTTTGTTTGACCGCCGCTAGCTTTTTTCCAGCCTGACCCTATATCCGCTAACATAGCTCGTCGAGGGAGGCGATGACTAGGCGTGCATACGTAACACATGTCCTAACCATCTCAGTCTTTGTAGCTTCACGACTTCGTCGATTGATTTCCCCTGTTTACCTAGAACTCTACGCCTAACCTCCATGTTGCTCACCTTATTATGCCACTTTACACGGGAAATAGAACGCAGGCACCTATGATCAAAGACAGCTAGCTTATAGCATTGGATGAAGGCTGCGCCATATATATATTCAACTCAAGTGATGATTTAGATGTGAGTGCGGCAGTATTATTGCAAGCTAACAACCAGTCACGACAAAAGTTGTCAGAAGACACAAGCGTATCTTCCATGGAGAATTCAAATACATTCACTTCATATCGAAGTCTGAGCTAAAGATTTTGTGTAGAAGGACATTGAAAGTGTTAAGGCAGACAACCTATCGTTGTTAGCCTTGGATTCATGATTGATGCATACACAGACATAATAACCTGATTGGACGGCTTTCGATTGGTCTTTGTTTGGCTTGAATATCTGAAGATTTGTGAATTATATATATACCCTGAAAGGTGAATAATGAAACGCTTTCGCTGTTGTCCCGGTTAAATCTAACTTTCATGTCTATCTAAGTGCAGGGAGTATTTTCAAGTGGTGTTATAGTGTCGTGTGTTTGGAGGCGTATTCTAGTCAAGTTAGACGACAATCACAAATCAGTAAGACTCTGCCGTCATAACAGAAAGCGTCACAATTAAACCACACAGCTAAGAGAACGCAACCATATCAAAGTAAGTTTGTATATCAAAACCGAAACACTTCAATCTGTAAGATGAAACTCTAATCTCTACATTTATGAGTTGTGGTGAAATTATGGTTATGTAGAGTAATCACATTCCAATGTTATGCGTTTACTCTCATCTCTATTCTTCAGTGGTTTAAAGGTGGAAGTGAAAATGGGTTTCTTTATTGCTTCATCAATTTAAAATTTCAAAAACACAGGGTAATACTGATAACTGTTTTGCAAATAACCACAAAAGATAATTAAATCGGATCAGTACCAAGAGTAAACGAATGTCCTTTTTCCATTCTTCTGTGTCCCAAGTGGGACGTAGGGTTTCTAGCCTTATTTTTCAGTGCCGTTTGGATTTTTTTACGGACTGAGGTTGCTAGTCTCATGTCTAACCTTCCCTCTTATTACAGCTTAATACCAGGTAGACAAAGCTTAGGAGTGTTTAGGCCAGGAATCGAATCCCAAACACGTGCATGAGCATTCCACCACCAATGCATTTGCAATGAAATGAACTACAGTGATCAGCAGTACAAATTAGGACATCGTCTCCACAAAACAATCTGGGTTATTTTAAAATACTGAGCAACTATTTTCATATACGCCCAAATAAACCACCTACCTGGTACAGTCAAGGGTGGATAAACTTCTATCATTGCCCTAAAAATGCTCTCATGTGACCACACATCCTTATAGCCTCATTCAGGTAAGTCCTATTCACCGAAAAATAGAAGGGTAAATAAGAACATCCAGAGATCACAGCGGACATGTAGGCCTACCTAGAGGAGATGAAAAATCCGGATTCCCAACTTATGGTGTACATGACTTCTACAATTTGAAAGAATCGAATGGTGTATGAACCTGTTTTAGGTGCCGAAAACCATTGGACCGCAGCTCCTAATGCCGCTCAACTGCCTTGAGGGTTAGGCATCAAGTCGAAGGTTAAAGGAGAGTCGCCTCTTAAGAAAACCACCTGCTTCAGCCGGAGCATTCGGACAGTATTCCAGCCCTCGTACAAACTATGAGACATTGTTAGGTGCATTTCTTAGTGCTTATAATGTACCCAAAGCTTGTATTTTAATAATTAAATTTTTCGTAGATACTGAATTTACCACCTCACCAGTATCAACAGTAATTAAAAAAATACAAATTAATGAGAAGTATATGATCAATACGAACTAACCTTAAGTGGTGAAAAATTTAAAACATGCACACAAAATATGCCAAGAAAACGTCGAAATCGACCCACAGCTTTTGCTATAATCATTAACTCTTCAGAAATTTGATTATCTTCTGTTTGACGTTTAAAATTAACTGGAATTGACAATTGATCAAGCATTGTCACTGCATACTGTCATATATATATGTAGAGGCATAAACACATATTGGTAAAATGTTTTCATTTTTGTTGTTGTTGTTGTTGAGAGAAATATGAAAGAAGAAGAAGAAGTGAAAAAAAGAAGGTGAAAACAAAACAGGTTTAATTAGCTCACCTAAAAGAGAAAAAAATACACACCACTCCACGATCAATATATAAAAATAGAGCAGAAAACTGCTAGAGGACTGGCTTTCTTGTAACTAAATATACTTAAGAGGATGAAGCAGTGTAGCTGTATAAGACGATTAGTAAATTATGCCTTATACCAAAACAAAATTATCGAAAAAAAGCTAACGAAATAAGACTCCATGACTTTATATTATGCACAGTATTTCAGGCCAATGATCGTTGTGTTTCTTGATATTAGGGCTGCCTTCGATTCGTTGGACAGAAAACTGTGTTCTGGAACTGTTTGTTGGAGAGAGGTGTACCTGAGAAATTTGTTAACATCTTGAAAGCCCTATACAGAAACACCTCGGGTAGAGTGAGAGCATACAGCCAACTATCATCACTGTTCCCAACCAACAGTGGGGTTTGACAGGGTTGCCCAATCTCTCCATTTCTCTTTAACTTTGCCATCGATGACATTCTGGAGTCAGCTCTGAAGGATGTGTGTGAAGGTGGTGTAGATCTGCTACCTGGAGGATAGACTTTTCGACCTCGAGTATGCAGACGATATCGTCTTACTGTGTGATAGCATGCAGGCTGCCCAAATCGCACTTAATCAGTTGGCGATCAGTGTCTGTAAGTATGGTATGTGCTTTGCGCCGTCTAAGTGCAAAGTACTGTTGCAAGATTGGCAGGAGCCTGTACTTGCACTCACTCTGGCGGGTGAACCGCTTGAAGTTGTTGATGAGTTTGTATACTTGGGTAGTTGTGTGAGTGCTGGCGGAGGGGTGACGGATGAGATTTCCAACGGTATAATGAAGGCTAGGGTGGCATACATCAACTTGAGCCACCTCTGGCACCGTCGCGAAGTTAACCTGGCTGTCAAAGGTCGGGTATACAATGCTTCGGTGAGGGCTTCCCTGCTCTACGCCTGTGAAACCTGGCGTCTCCGAGTAGGCTGAGGATGTGCGACGAATCTGCATGTTCGATCATCGCTGTCTCCACAGGATTGCTTGCGTCCGATGGCATCATCGCGTGAGTAATTCTGAGGTTCAGCGGCGTGTGTTTGACCACAGTGGGGATCACCATTCATTGGGTGTCGTCATCTGGAAACACCGGCTCCGTTGGCTTGGACATGTGCTGCGAATGTCATCCCAGAGGCTTCCGTACAGGTCTCTGTTCGCTAGCCCTGGGACGGGATGGAAAAGGCGGAGAGGTGGTCAGTCTATGACGTGGCGTCGTGGGGTGAAGGATTTTTGTGCTAGATTAGCATCGGTTGGTGTGTCACGACTCCCTGGTTGGGGTCCGAGAGATAGCTCAAATCGATGACTCGAAACGTTATCGGATATGGCCAAGAATCGTAATCAATAGCGAACGTGTTGCAATTTCCTTCTTTCTTCCCTTCCCGATGATAGTTAACGAATACTGTTTGAACCTGTTAAGCATGACCGTTTTCCTCCCAGATGAATTTCTTTATCCGTTCTCTACTTATATATATATATATATATATATATATATATATATTTCTTTTTTCTTTTGATGTATGTTGTTTTATTATTATTGTGTGGCGCATCCTTCTTGGTGTCATACTGTACCAAGTTTTTATGCGTTTAAATAAATAAATAAATTGCAGTGTGTGTGGACTTAATTACTCGAACACAGGATATGAACCATATTTACTGTGTAAGGACTGATAACACTATCCAGTTACCTATGGTGAATTAGGTGCGACACGTTTCGAACCCAGGGATCCATTGGGTAGAAGTCGAGGAGTTAAGCTAATGAGTGACATCTCTACCGGTTTTTCAGTAATGGGAATGGGTCTAAATGCTACAGTAGATTTTTAGTAACCTGCATATACCACAAAACTATTTCGACAGATTGCCAATACTAAAGATGACTCAGGGTAGTGCAGTACTCCGTGGTTTCCAATGGTTCTCTAACTGACATCAATCCGTGATCAAATTCGTAAAAACAAATCTAATCCTTAGAAACCAACTCTCGAGAATATACCAAAAGAATCTTATTCATATCCATGTTTAGATTTCGTCTGTAGCTAATCCATTATAACTAATACAACTATTCGCTCCGTCCTCCTCTATGGGTGTGAAAAATGACCATTCAATGTAGAAGACATGAAAAGCTTGACTAGCTGTCTTTGATGATAGATGCCTATGTTGTATTTCCCGTGTTAATTGATATAATAGGGTGAGCAATATTGAGGTTAGGCGTCCAGTGAATGTTAGGTGAGGAGGGGAAATCAACCGATGAAGTTTTGAAGCAGCTGCATCGATTGAGACGGTTAGGACACGTGTTACATATGCCTAGTCATCGCCTTCTTCGACAATGGGCAACGTTAGCTGATATAGGGTCAGGCTGGAAAAGAGGAAGCGGCGGTCAAACCAAAACATGGCTTCACCAGTCAATGAAATCTACAACAGTTAGTTTAGCCACGTAGGAAGGTGTAGACTTCCGGGTTAGGGTCCTCGAGATTTTAAGAAACAATGCCTTGAGGCTATCGGTGATATGGCTCAAAGCTATTCTTTATGGCGCAGAGCATTCACTCTTTGTAATTTTATTATATCTATTAAACCATATTGCTTTACCATGTTGATATTAATCTTTCCTCACATTTCTGCTTATCATCGTTCTTTTCTACCTCCTTTCTACCCTTTTATCTTCTTTTGCTTCCTACATGGAGTATGGCAACTTGAACTGTTGTACTTATGTGCGAAATTCTCATGCCAGTCATTTAGACGCAACTCCCGAAATAAATGAAGTGGTCAACACACTAAACTGTTTTATCCTCTATCTTTATGTTACGATTCGATGTAGATCAATCCTGTAGTATTATTTAACTCTAGGCAATGGTGAACCACACCTCACACATATATAGATTTTGCAATCAAGTGTGACGATTCAGTTGGCAGCGTACTGCGATAGTAGCCTATAGAGTGAAAATTCAAAATCTCTAAAGTTAGTTATCAATCTCCAGCAGAGGTTTATACATTACTAGGTTGTGTGTGATATTCAATTTACTTCGACTTAGGATACTAGCCTACGTGTGTCGACCTACAGTAAACAAAACAAAACAAAACTAGAACTTTGAATGCAATGTTTCAAAGTTCAATGCAATGCCTAGGCCTAAATTTATTTATTTATTCATACGCATAAAAACTTGGTACAATATGACACCAAGAAGGATGCGCCACACAATAATAATAAAACAACATACATCAAAAGAAAAAAGATATATATATATAAGTAGAGAACGGATAAAGAACTTCATCTGGAAGGAAAACAGTCATGCTTAACAAGTTCAAACAGTATTCGTTAACTATCATTGGGAAGGGAAGAAGGAAGGAAATTGCAACACGTGTAATAGCACGCGATAAGTTTCATTGATCGTTTGTTGCTTCATTCAATTGATTGTGTGAGAGGTGAGATACTGCCCGGGTACCCAGACCGAAGCAGGTGGTTTTATTAAGGGACCACCCCCCCGCGAGCCTTTGACTTGCAGTCTAATCCGGAAGGCAGAGGAGCAGCGTCAGGAGCTGCATTCCCATGGTTTCCGGTGACCCATATGGGTTCATATGCCATTTGATTCGATTGGATACTGGAGCCCATGTACCCCATGGTAACTGCTTTTAGTTTAACCGCTATCCAAACAACCTTCCTGACATGGTAGGATCTGCAGGGACAGAGTCCTAGTCAGTTTAGCATGTTGGGTCATTACGGTATTCAAGCCCGACCACCACGACAAGGTAGCAGTTATCGGCCGGGCCTAAAGCTACAGCTTGACACTTATGCAAATAGTAAACTATTGATCAGTCGTATCTTTTATTAGTCTAGTCGACAACTTAACTAATATTTTACATATATATATATATATATATATATATATATATATATATATATATATATATATATATATATATATATATATATTGTCAATATTACCGAAAACCTACCTCTCGTATGTGATGTACAATAGTATCTAGGCAACCAATTATACTAGCCCATTCTGATGGTGAAAGTTTACTGTCTGATGTATATCGAATATCATGATGATGATGATGATTTTGATTATTTCCACAATTGACTTGAAGCTTTTCAATTAAACAATTGCTTAAGTGTGTGATTAAATCGGGTAGATAACGACCACATACACAGGGATACATATCAATTGGTAAGCAATTCAGTAGGAAATGCACTATTGAACACCATTGACTTAATGACAACTTTAAGACTGGTTGTTGCCAATTTTCATGTACACCTGATGATGATGACAATGAAGTTTCTTGCTGTTTCATCGACGTGTTCATCAGTAGTAAGTCAGTGAATTGACTTTCAATAAATCTCCATAAAAATTCACTATTCATATTACTGAAAAACAGATGAGCTGTACGCAAAAATTCATCGACCACATTACTGCTAGCCGTATGATTTGTAGGTTGTGTTAAGTGCTTTTTACCAGTTGACTCTGACGATGAAATTGTATCCTCCCTATCCACTACTAAATCATTTGGTTCATATTCTGAATTCGATGGATTATTTGATGACATGATGTTTCTACCCTGGTTATCAATGCCTGGAATAAGCGAAGAAATTATTATGGTTAGTATTTAATCGTAGACAACACAAAAATCAATATTCAAGTATTGGTTTGTAGGGATTTGATTGACTGGTTACAGGATTTCATCATGAGCTGACATTGGTTAGAGAACCATTGGAAAACCTGAGAGTACTGGAAAGCTCGCTTTGTGACCAGAAGGTCCTGGATTTGAAGCCCAGTGGGTGTGTACCATTGAGGAGTCCCAAACTAGGCTGACGAAACTTATGTGCAGTGCTCCCAGATTTTCCAATGGTTCTCCAACCGATATCAGCTCATGATGGAATCCTGTAAAACTCAATAGTTCATCATGACGAAGACTGAATTCCTACTGAATTGCATCAGAGATTAGAAAGTAATATCAAGCCCTGATTCTTGTCAATGGAAACACCCAATTATTTCAATTTTACGAAAAAAAACGACTGACTAATTTCCTCATAATGTTCCTAACAGAGTTTGGACAGTCAATGAAGTATCCACTGAGATTGTAGATAAACCCTGTATAAACAGGGATCTATGAACAAGATCATGAATCTCATCTCGCTTTCTTCCTAGGAGTGCTATTTCAAAAGGTCGGTTGTTGGTTTAACCGGAAGCTTAGTATGGCTTGTTACTGGACGAAGTTAAATAATTTCAAATACCTTCTCCGTTATTCACAGAATACTTTATGACTTAAAAACTCCGGCTGAGATTGGCAGCTCAAATGATAACAGACGTCCAAATCTTCATCCCTGACAATCGTTCGGTCGCTTAAACGCGATAGGCGTCAGGGTTACCTTTGATTGTATCGAAGCTGCATTTCCTGGCATTTTGAAGTTTTTAATCAATGGTTTAGCCTTTTTTTAAGATTTCATACTACGAAGCTGATTGCTTACTAGGAAGTTTTATCGTCTTATGTCACTCGTAAATGTTGTGCAGTGGGGGAGACTGAAGTCGTTGGAAGTGATTCCACATATCACACGTAAGAATTTTCGTTGTCTACTTAATTCTATGAAATTTAGTTCTCTTGATAGATATACTTGTTCGTCATTTGCATAATCTCCTTGTCCTTTCTGAAATATTCTTCAGTAAAAGAAAAATTATTCTTTCATTTATTGTAGTTCACCTTCCAACTAGTATAGCTTAAGTCTTTAACTATGACGAAACAAGTGTTCAGTAGTTATCCAGAAGTTGTCAATTCCTAACCAAAATCTACACACCTATCAAAAATAAACATTGTAAACGGGAGGAGGCCGTAAAAGCTGCTTTACTGTGTGCGTGTGTGTGTGAGTATGCATACGATTAAGTCTTCAGACTGACCGAATCCCCAGCCGACGCACTCCTTTACCTCGCCAAGCCAGAAATAATGCTGGTAAAGAGGAAAGGCTGGGCATGAGGCTAGCAACCCCATCCTGTAAAAATAAACACTGCTACAGAAACTTCAAGCCACTAGCTTGAAGCCCTATGTTCCAGTGGGGAACATGAAGGAAAAAAGTGCACGCTTGCTTAGTTCGAAGAAGTGGTGATTGGTATCTGTCGGTTAGATGTATAAAACTGTATCCAATAACTTACTTAACAAAGGCTTGCAAAATTTACTCACAATATACGTTTGTTATTGAGTGGTTAAAAGTTGGCTATTAGGAAAGTCAGACAATATAAACTAGTATTTAAAATTCCTATACTTCTTCTTCAACTAAAATTCAACTGAAAATCGTAATCACAGCGCTGAAACCCTTACTATAACTTTTATATCACATATGAAAAGAGAGAGGATATCAATCTAGATGCAACGGACTAATCTTTGGAAGCAAATATAACGTTAAAGGCCAGAAACAGTCACAAAGTAAGACGCTATGTCGTGAATTGGCAGAAGTTAGAACTCATGGACTAGCCATTGGATCGGGTCCCAGTGGCTTAATGGTATACTAGCTAGCTCGCCTTGTAACCAGAAGGTCCTGGGTTCGAATCCCGGTGGGTGCGTACTGATGAAGAGTCCGAAACTAGGCTAGCCAAACAGCTGTCCAGTACTCCCTGGTGGTTTTCCAATGGTTCTCTACTTAATGTCAGCTAATGATGAAATCCTGTAACAAAGTAAGACTGCTGTTCAACAGAATACTTATCAACTTTATTCAGTGATATTTACTTCTCAGACGTTTGAATTCCGTTTTTTTCTCTGCACTGGACACTATTTACAAGTTTCAATTCAGCTAGATATTTTCAATACAATTCATTGCTAGTTATCTTTTACAACACCCATAGAAGTTTACACTGAACATGCTCAAGTTTCCCAATAAAATATGATAATATAAACAAGCAAATTAGTGTAATAAACATCACTATTTTTAGATTATGGGACAAGTGCATATTTGGATTAGTTTCATTTCAATCGATAGATTTCCTCAAAAAACAACATCATTAGGAGAGATCATTGGGGACGACAAAGCAATGGGAGACTGTTTCGTCTTATTTCGGTAATCTTCATCAGTGAGCACCTACGATCGCACTAGAGATCGAATATGAGATCCTTAAGTTACGACACCAAACTCGTTGACTATTCACTCAATTGGCCAAGAATTCAATGACCCATGAATTCTAACTCTGCCAGCTCGTGATAAAGTATTACCCCCATTAATGACTTTAATAAGCATTCACTTTACCTTGATATAGTGGACCTCAATGGTAACGAACTGTCACTACAGCTTCGGTACGTCCATCAAGTAGCCAGCAAAGCGCTATAGATAGATATTTTGATCAAGGGATTTATGTGAATCTAGATTAATATAGTTTAAATGGTTAGATTTCGTCACGAAGCGACTTTAGATAGAGAGATTAACGAAAACTGTAGACCACTGGAAGGCTGTTTCTTCCCGTTTTGGGACTCTTCAGCAATGCGCAGTCATGACCCCGTCATTATATTTAACAGGCAACTATAGAATTATTAAATTCAGTTGTTTATGACTGAAATTTTCAACTCATGTTGGTTTCTGAAATACTGTGAAGTTTTCTCTTCTTTTGGAGTCTTAAGAACACTGGGAACAAATAGGCTAACTTCAATTACCACAAAGCCGGAGGGCGCCTCATGAAGTCATTTTAACAATCAGTGTCAATAATAATAACCAATACTTTAAAACATTGAACGAAAATGGAATTGAACTGCGCAGAAATCTAATGACACTAAGAAGTTATTTAAAAGCACCCTAGGATTGATGTTATCAATTGAATTAATCCCATAGGACATCATATGTTCTGTTTTATTAGTATCAATTTCTCACTGATTAGTAACACATTTGACAAACTGTTGTCGCTTTTTTACTGGAGAAAATCGAATATTACGTACTTAAACATTAGTATTATGAGTAGTTATTGTTTTATGTAGGGCAATCGAGACGAACGAGATTTCTAACCTTATCGCGAAAGCTAGGGTGGTATACGCCAATTTGAGCCACCTCTGGTGCCATCGTCAAGTAAGCCTAGCTGTCAAAATTCAGGTGCGCGCAGATTGGCTCTATGCCTGTGAAACGTGGCCTCTCCAAGCAGAGGATGTGTGGCAACTCTGCGTATTCGATCATCGCTGTCTCTGTGGAATTGCCTGCGTTCGATGACATAATAATGTGAGTAAATGTGAAGTCCAGCATCATGTGTTTGCATTCAGTGGAGATCACCATTTGTTGAGTGTCATCATCTGGAAGCGACGGCTTCGGTGACTTGATGGATATGTGCTAAGAGTGCCATTACACGGCTTCCGTACCGGTCTCCGTTTTCTAGTTCTGAGACGGGATGTAATAGCGGAGAAGTCGTCAGTCCATGATGTAGCGTCGTGGCATCGAGAACATTTGCGGTAGGTTAGCATAGGTTGCTGCATCACGACTCCCTGGTTGGGGTTCGATAGACAGCTCGAATCGTTATCGCAATCAATGGCGAACGGGCTGCGATTTCCTTCTTCCCTCCTTTTTCTGACAACAATTCGATGAATGTTGTTTGGTCTTGTTAGAAGTACTTGCTTCCTTTCCGGATGAAGTCCTTTGTCCGTCCTCACCCTATTTTCTTCAAATTTATTGCTGTTTTATTATTCTTGGTGCCTATATTGTACCAAGTTCGGTGTTTTAAATAATAATAATAAATAAATAAATAATCGAAACTGTCTACACGAAGGCTTGTATTATACCTATCTTTTCACATAATTTACAAAGTGCTGCTGACATTTAGGTTGACTTCCTGAGTTCTGTACAGATTACAATAACTCTGTAGACTGAGAACATTAAAAATAGTAACATATTTAGCAATCCAAAATTCTGTCAGTGTTATTAGTTCCTTGTGCTGCGAATGGAAGGTACAGCTTCTCTGTTCTCTGACGTCACTTTTAACTGACTGCATGACTGACCACAGGTTTTCACTTCCCCCCCTTCACATGATCTCCTCTGTGTCACCCTTGGACACCCAACTCATCACTTCCCCCATTCAGTTTCCATTTAAGGGTCTGGCGTGTAATATCACTCAACGATCTTCTCAGTATATGTGCCCAATCAAAATTAGATTACTACTGCACACAGAACAAATATGCGTCAATAAAACTTATAGTTAAGTAGCAATAAGGGTTTCTAATAACCTTTAACCCCTTCAAATTCATCCCATTAAAAAAATCAAAGTTAGAAGTTACAAAAAAATGAAATTGACTTACGTAAACTTGATGGCTTTGCACTATCTCGAATTAAAACATGATCTTTAATTAGACTGACCATATTGTTTGGCAAGAGTTTCTCGTTTAGACTAGGACGATTCACTAAATCCGATACAGTTAAGGTAGGATCACGTCGTAGGCTAGACAATTGATTTGAATTCAACCAACATGTTGTCTGCCAACGTAATTTCATGTAATTTCTAAACGTATACCATAAAATATCCAGTAAGATACTATCTAATATTCCATTAGTAATATCTACATGATCAGTAAGACCAACTAAAACACGAAACGGACGTTCTGAAATACTGCGCTCTATAACTAAAACAAAAACAGAAATCAAATGGAATGGAATCATAAATTTAGGATAGATGATGAGTGGATATATTGATAACAAAAGATGGATCACACACTATTGAAGTTTTGAAGATAGGCTCATTTAAGATGATTGTATAGACAGTTCGGGAACATACCTGGTCAAGCACACACACACCTACACGTACACAAATTTGAATAAATTAAGTCTCAGTAATGTGTAGATCGTAAAAACAAAAAGTAGTGAAATCTGTGGATCAATCCACTAATTGTTGATTGATACTTTACTGCAGAGCTCATTGATTTCTTCACTTCAAGGTGAAGTCACTTAACAGGCAAAAACCATCTTGACGCTCAAAATTGAGTCACGTCACATTGATATATACTTGATTTTTGAAATGTGCAATATATAGCAGTATGTCTGTCTGTCTGTCTGTTTTCGACATAGAACTTTGCACTGATGTGCGCCAGTTCAAGTCGCCACACTCCCTCCATGTAGCACACAAAGAAAGAGAAGGAAGTACAAGAAATGCATAATACAGACAGTAGACAGAGGTGTGCGACAAAGGAATGGTAATAACGAAGAACAAAACAGTTTCATTGGAAATCATAAGTCACAAGGAGTGGATGCATCTGCACTAGCCATTGAGAACGATTTTGAGCCATGTCACCAATTGTTCCCAGCCTTCATTGGTTTTTACTGTCCTGAGGACCCCAACCAGTCAGGAAGTCTACACCTTCCTACGTGACTGGCTTAGACTAACTGTTATGGATTTCATTGACTGGTGAAGCCATGTTTTGGTTTGACCGCCGCTAGCTCTTTTCCAGCCTGACCCTATATCAGCTAACATTGCCCATTGTCGAGGAAGGCAGTGGCTAGGCGTGCATACGTAACACATGTCCTAACCATCTCAGTCGATGTAATTTCCTAGCCTCATTGGCTGATTTCCCCTGCTTACCTATCACTCGACCGATGCCTAACGTGAATATTGCTCACCTTATTATACCACTTCACACGGGAGATAGAGCGCAGGTACCTACGGTCAAAGACAGCTAATCCTTTCACGTCTTCCACTCTCAATGGCCAGGTCTCACAGCAATAAAGGAGGATGTAGCGGACTGATGAACAGTACACCCGCCCTTTGGATATCTCGTCTACGCCAAAGATGGCGTATGCTAGGAGAGTAGCCACCCTCTTCTTATCGAGTACAAGAATTGTTTCTGAATTCTCGTACCTACACTGCTGACAAATACATAATATTAGCAAAAACACTATGACACTACACTTACATATCATTTGTAACTTATATGAATTCTCCAACGGCATAAAACATACCCTGTTGGAAATACGAATGAAACACCGAATTTTCTAATGACTTGATATACGAACACCCATTCCACGTCTCATGATCTGCACCTTGAAAGAGGAAGTCAGTAGCGCCTAGTCATTTAGCTTGACACGACTATGCAGAGGAAAATGTGTTTTTCAAGTGTTGGTTTGTAGGGATTTAATTGGTTTCAGGATTTCATCATGATCTGACATGAGCTGGGATCGGGTCCCAGTGGCTTAATGATATACGACCTCACCTTGTAACTGGAAGGTCCTGGGTTCGAATCCCGGTGGGCGCTGAAGAGTCCCAAACTAGGACGAAACAGCTGTCCAGTACTCCCAGGTGGTTTTCCAATGATTCTCTAACTAATGTCAGCTCATGACGAAATCCTGAAAGTGTGTTTTTATTCACTTATACTTCAGAGTAAAATTAAAACATTGCTTACCTAAGGCTGAAAAATCTGATCCGAAAACAGATTTAGAGAAACAGCTTAAATTGTCTTCATTTGGTTGACAAGGGATCGGTAAACAAACAGGGCTTTGAATTAAACGACGAACAGATTCAATTAGAATTTTTTGTGAATACACTTTAAAATAATGTTGAGAAGTGAAATTGTCGTCCATAATATTTCCATTGACATCATGAGTAGGCTGAAAAAATTAGCAAAATTAAATGGTCAAATCATTGAATGAATATATGATTCACACTATGCATATAAATATACTTGAATATCGAAATTATGGAATTCGATGGGATTATTTTTTTCCTTTACGTTCCCCAGTGGAACATTGGGCTTCAAGCTAGTGGCTTGAAGTTTCTGTAGCAGTGTTTATTTTTACAGGATGGGGTTGCTAGCCTCATGCCCAGCCTTTCCTCTTTACCAGCATTATTTCTGGCTTGGCGAGGTAAAGGAGTGCGTCGGCGGGGAATCGAACCCCGGACCATGTGCATGGTCGGTGAGCGTTCTAACCACCATGATACCGACGCACGATGACATTATTAATTCTGGAGTATGAAAAAGAGAAGACATTTAGCGAAGAGACTCTTTTCGGTGGCACGAGTCTGATTCGCGAGACAGTGAAACCAAAAGCAGTTTATGTGAGATTCCAGTTAGGTGATATCTTCTTAGCTACATCACGTTGCAACAGTGGTGGGATACTTGACAGAAAGTGGCCAGCACCCTGTATTTATGATCCGCCGTATAATTGCGACCTATTAGTTCTACGATATCCTGAAGAAAGCGATAGATTTCTTCAGAGTATAAACTGAAACCAACCCAACATATATATATATATAAAACATCTTTAAGGGCTGGATATAAATACTCTAAACTACATATCTTCTGAGTCACGCCCCTATATCAACAAGAAAGCAATGACCAAATTACCTTCTTGGACAGCACTACAGGATATATCACTTTATTAAGGAAACACGTGTATACTTAGTCCATTCGTAACAAAGAATGAAGAACGACAGTCTTAAAAGGAGAATGGGATCATGTCGTTCACTACAAATAAGCGAGTTAGTGTTAACCAAAACTAATATATGCATAACGGTAGTTCAATGATAGACTGCTCACTAACCACTCACTTGGTTCGGGTTTGATTCCCTGCTGACGCACTCCTAAACCTCCCATAGCCGGTAGTAAGTCCCGGGAAAGAGGAAAGGCTGGGTGTAAGGCCAGTAACTACAGCCCATGAAAACAACACCAATATTGAAGCCCTATATTTCACGCAGAACACAAAGGAATAGAAAAAATTAATGTATTCCAACTGAAATCCCTACTAGATTCCCAGATCAGATTCGAAGAAAGAGTTGTAAAACACAAACAAGTATTTAAGAACAAACAATTAACTACAAGGTCGTAAAAAGCAGCATTAATGCTCGTGATATCAAGTGATTTCAGTCACTACTGGCATAAAATTTAGTTTAAACAATATATTGTAACATTTAAGTCTACAAGGGTAAGACTTGTTAATCTTTAATAAACTATAATGCATAACTTACCATTAAATGTTCATTATTTTCTATACACATGACTACATCTGCCCATGTCATTGATGCTTTACTTACACCACCTTTCACATGGTTATCTTCCCCATTGACAATCATTTCCTCTACTAACTGTCCACCTCTGAGCCATGTAAATAAACGACGATTCAATGATGCATCACGACGTAATAAAATAGCCAAAGATGCTGTACATAACACGGCAAAATCTTTCATAGTCAATGAATCACCACTAATAAATTGAAATGGATTTGAATTTTTCGTCGAAATGGAATGGAAGTGAATTGGCAGTGCTAATAAAAGGAAATCAAGAGCATCACGTTGTACCAGTAGGACACTATCACCGAATAGACAACATAAACTCTCCACCTGAATAAGGGAATAAAAAAAGAAAATATTGAAGTTAGACAAAAACATAAGTCGATTTTGTTCTTCCTGTCAACTGATTAAACCAAAACATTCGACCTCTGTTGACGTGTCAGCTTCTCATATAAACGCTTCAATGGCGTCCACCATCATCACTGCACAACAGATGGCTCTCATAGTCCAAATAGTTTAGTGGATAGTGCCTCGGCGTATGAAACGATGGGTGTTGGGTTTCGCACCTTAGTGGGAACACACCATCACTCACTGGGGATAGAAGATGTATTCAGATGGTGAGTCCCAGATAGGACGAAATGCGCATCCTGGATTCTGCTGAAAGTTATCATCCATCAAATAGGTTCGATATATCACTAAACGTCGCGTAACCGGTAGCAAATTCAGAGTAGAGGGAGGCTTGAAAATGACAACTTTGGCTTAAAAAGCATGAAGGCCAGTGTTTCACTCAGAACACAAAATGAATGAGAGTGATCGTTGATTTCAGTGCTTCACTCGCTTCAACTTGTTTTGATTGTACTTAATGATTATTTTTCACCATCCTAAGTAGGTAAGCTTTATGAAGCGTATATATATATTTGAACCACTAATACAAAAGCGCCAAAATATACCTTAAAACCATCTTGTTTGTACTCAGTTCACCTTTATCAGTCTATTTTACGGTACTGGCAATGAGCCGTCATCTAGTCTTATGATAAAAGAGTATAAGATACCGTGGAGAACGACAGCACTTATTCTTTCCCGTAAATTACTCCTTTCATTAGATTTAAATTAGTCATGTGACCATGCAACCTCGTTTCGTACCGCTCTGACCTGCCTATGTCTTAGTCTCTGTTATATAATATGCTTTACTTGTTTTGTTTTTCAAATGTTAGTTTGTAGGGATTTGATTGTTTTCAGGATTTCATTATGAACTGACATCGATTGGAGGACCATAGGAAAACCTGGGAGTACTGGACGGCTGTTTAGCTAGTCTAGTTTGAGACTCTTTATCAGTACGCACCCAGGACCTCCCGACTATAAGGCGAGCTCGTAGACCAATAAGCCACTGGGAGTGACAGGGCTATCGAGTGGTCGCGCCACAGGATGATACTGCATGCTGGTCTCGTCTCGTAAGAGGTAGTGGTGGGTTCTCCTGAAAACCAATCTCCAGTCAGTCGGTGTACCATTATGATTTGATTTTGTTAGTGAAGGTGCAACATTCATAAAATATCTAGAATGTTGTTACTTTATTACTGTTCAAGTTGTGACAAAAAAAAAGCAACATGTATTTCAATAATTAACAACAACTGAAACGACAATAAGCAACTATAATTTAAAGCATACTTACAAGAATATTTTTATCCAATCCATAGATATAACTTTGAGCTTCTAACGGTTTACGCCTATTTAGATGGCTAATAACAAATGAAATGCCATATTGTCGAATAGAAGGAGATTGAATTAAAAGCTACAAAAATATATGGAAGAAAAACAATTCCTAAAAAGGTAGTCAGCATTCTTCAAGTGAAATTACATAAATAGAACTTGAGAACAATAAAAAATTTCTCAAACAGAATGTAGCAATACAGAGTAACTCAATGAACATGTATAAAGATCAGTAGCGTATTCACCTTTACTCATTGCAAGATTATAAATGTGATACTATCCAATATATCGAATTCCAGCGAACGGAATTGTTCTCTATTTATCCGTCTACAGTTGACAGTTGAGTCTAGAAGATTGGAGTTACAATTAAGCTAAAAATGTCTTGCAGTACTACTCATCACCGAAATCATAAATACCGTCGATGGTAAGTCAGAAGTAAAATTTATATATATTACCCTAAGTGAAGCAAAATGCGATAGTGCAGTATGCTATGAAGACTTGGATTGTTCGACTATGTCTTGCCGTGAAAAGATGTAGACCGTATTAATAACAGCAGAAGCAGGAGGAGTCGTAGTGATAAGCAGCTTTATCTGTTTTAATAATATTAACAGCATCAAACTTTGACTTCATAACAGTAAGGTCAAAAATAAATAATGTAGGCAACATTTATTTTACAGATAGCAAAAACTCATTGTATAATTCGAAGATTATATTAAATAAGTAACTTCCAATTAACTTAATAACACAGGTTAACAGAAGCATAAACAACAACTGTGACTACCTGACTTTGAAGTTCAACACAGAGAGGAAATAAATGATATTAGAATACAGTTGACTATGATAAAAAAAAGTGGATGAATTTCACGCAGTTATGAAATTAATCGTCTAAGACTACAAAAATCCGTAGTGCGTGAAAACACATGATACACCTAAGAGTAATAATTTACAGTGATAAACACACACACATATACACTAAAATCGATCGAAATGACTATTGAGCGTCTTCATTTACCGTAGCAGTCATGCTATTTAGAACTTATATATACAAAATAACAGTTTTTCGGAATTATTTTAACATGTCCTTTAACTATTTGGCTACCAAAAAACAGAAGCGGTATATTCAGATGGTCAAACCTCTTGATCACCTGATTTTGACTGGAAAATATTGGTAATCAACAACCACTTATGTTAGTTAGGGATATGAATCGTTCAAGATATGCTCAACCCTCCGTAAAACACTAGGTAAATCTGAAGAATCAAAACATTACCTTCCACAAGCATGTATAAAAGAATGCCGGTCCCACAGAGGTACTAAACATTTCTAGCATTCGATTACCACGTTCGAAAAATTCCGCTCCTGGTTCCAAACCCGGTAACAGACCCTAAGGCAATATAATAGAATTCCAAAAATTAATTTAAGTTATAGAAATATACACACAAATTAGATTACAAATTTTAGATATGCATAAAACAAAATCTTGGGTCTAAACCAATAAGTATTGTATAATGTACTTATAACTGCACCCATTAGTCTACCAGACCAGCTATACATTTGCGCAACTTCATTTGTTTTAGAACCACAGCTTCGCAAACTGAGCATTCAATTAATTTATGGGTTCAAAACCATGTTTCATCTAACGATATTTGAGCAACCACTATCCTCACACTTTATTTGTAGCTTGATATCCACAGCAATAGACTGTGCATAGAGACTGAGGCAACAAAATAGAGATGTAAAGGCATAAGGAAAACTTCAAACCACTCATATCGGTGTCATTAACAAATAAATAGCCCCACTTCACTATACTGTTTAAGTATAAGCATAGAATGTGTTATAGTTCGGGAAAATCAGACTATTGAACAGACAAAAAATGATTACATGCAGTATATTTCCACGAGAAATTAGATTAACAGACTGGATCTGACTGATTGAGCATGAAATAAAAACCTGAGTCATAACAGGATTTGAACCAGACGCTTACAGATTACTAGCCCGGCACCCTACCTACTCAACTATGAGACCCAATTGCAATGAACTGAATGTTATTTAAACAGTAAATGGATGAAGAATAGACATTCTTGCAGTAGGTCATAGTGAAACTGCCTTCTAATGATGTCAATGTCCCGACCGAAAGCTGCTACCTTGACGTGGTGGTCGGGCTTGAACACCGCAATGACCTAATCAAGCTATACTGGCTGAGACTTATGTCTCTTGAGGTTCTACCATGCCAGGCAGGTTGTTTGGATAGCGGTTAAACAAAAAGCAGCTACCCATCCAATACCATGATCCAAACAAATTCACAAAATTTCATGCCGGATCGGCCGTGGCCCGGATTAACAACGACCGCGCTTCCTGCTGCCGTGTCACAGGGCGGGAGTGATAAGTATGCTACTGAGGCACACAAAACAACGAAGAACGAACAAAAACAGGCCGCGTGTGACCGGCCTCAAGCAGTTGTCCCCTGGGCTCTGCGGTCACGCAACCAACTTCCACGGTGTGGGCAGCCGGGAAGTAACAATCGCCCTCACAATCCAAAACGCACACAAAACCTCTCTAATCCTCACTTATCTTTGTCTTCATCTTCATCTCTATTACCTTACCTTCCCCCAGTGATGCAACTCCTCTACTTGATGGCTCCTCACTCCCTCTTCACTCTGTGTCCACTAAAAACGACGAAAGCCAAAAAACCACCCGGATAGTCTCCTAAAGCCACGCCACCAATTTCATATAGGAGCATTTAATGTAAGGACACTTTGCCAAATAGGACAACAAGCATCACTAGCTAAGACCCTGGCATCTCGAGCCATTGATGTATGTTGTGTTTCAGAAACACGCATACAAGACCCAAGTGTGGTTATTCACCTAACCCCACCTGGCCAACAGGATGAATCTTCAAAATTCACCTTGAGGGTGTCAGGAGATGCCACAGCTAGTTCACGGGGATTAGCTGGCGTAGGGATAGCTCTGAGTACTAGGGCAGAAAAGACATTGCTTGACTGGATCCCAGTAGATAGCCGAATGTGTGCTGTCCGTCTGAACGGATCAGTAAGAAGGAGAAAGGACTGCACTACTCGCCGATGCCTTTTCGTAATCTCCGCCTACGCCCCCACTGACTGCAGTTCGGATGAAACGAAGGATGAGTTCTACCAAAAGCTGTCTAGTTTGGTGAGAAAGGCTAAACGCTCAGATATAGTCGTTCTAGCTGGTGACTTTAACGCTCAAGTAGGGAAATTGTGTCAATCTGAGAAGGATGTCGGTGGCACCTATGGAGTTCCGTGCCAGCGAACCGACAACGGTGACCGTCTCCTACAGTTCTGTTCAGATAATCATTTGTTTCTTGTAAGCACTAACTTTAAACACAAGGAGAGACACTGTTTAACCTGGCGACCCCCATCATCAAACCAACGCTGGACACAAATAGACCACATAGCAATAAGCTATCGTTGGCGTGGGTCGGTAGGAGATTGTCGCTCCTTCTGGAACACGTGTGTAGATACCGATCACGCACTGGTCCGGGCTCGTGTGTGCTTACGACTGAACGGACGTAGGAAACAGCTGGCGGTAAAACCATTACGCCCCCAGCTCGATCAGGAAACTAAATCCCTATTTGAGGAAGAACTAGCTAAACGCATATCTGAATCCGACAGCTGTGCTCACCCTGGAGAAGCCTGGAAGAATATTCAGTCAGCTATAGATACAGCTGTAAAAGCTGTGAATAAGACAAATCCAAAGGTGAGTAAAAACCACTGGATTTCGACTGCCTCATCCGAACTGATAGATGCTAGAAGACTTATTCCGGCGAGCTCCGAATTCAATGAGGAGCGAAAGCTGCACAAAAGGAAACTTACTAAAAGTCTCCGCAAGGACCGTGAACAGTGGTGGGTGACAAAGGCGAAAGAGATGGAAAAAGCATTGGCGATAGGCAACACTAGGCAACTCTTTAGACTCATCACAGAATCGGGCGGGAAAAGGCAATTCATAAGTGAGACTATTTCTGAGAAAAATGGCTCCTTAATTAGCTCTCAGGATAGACGCCTTGAACGCTGGAAAGAACACTTTGAGGAACAATTTAACTTGCCTACAGCCACACTGAACCTCCCCGCCATCCACCACGTACCCGAATGGGATATAGACACTGGTCCGCCGTCTGTAGGTGAGGTTACAAAAGCTATCAGTAATTTGAAACGAGGCAAAGCGGCAGGACCCGACGGAATTATTCCGGAGGTGTTTAAATATGGGGGTGACATACTAGTTTGTAGATTAACTGAGGTACTAGGCAAAGTCTGGGAATCAGAGACAGTACCATCAGACTGGGGTAAGTCACTTATTATACCGATATTCAAGAAGGGAAACAAGTCCTCGTGTGATAATCATAGGGGGATCAGCCTAACGAACATAGTCTCTAAAATCCTAGGCTCAGTAATCATGCATAGACTAAGCAGAACTCGGGAGGAACAGACAAGGGAAAATCAAGCAGGCTTTAGACCAGGTAGAGGGTGCATAGATCATATCTTCACTCTTCGACAGATTCTAGAACATAGACACACTTTTCGGCGTCCAACAATTGTCATATTTCTTGACTTGAAGGCGGCCTTCGACTCCGTGGACCGAAAAGTACTATGGCAATGTCTGACTGTGAAGGGAGTGCCAAGAAAGTACATTGCACTAATCAAGGCACTCTATTCAAACTCACGTAGTCGTGTAAGGGCTTATGGGGAATTGTCATCTGAATTAGTAACAACCAGTGGTGTCCGACAGGGATGTCCACTTTCCCCATTTCTGTTTAACTTCATCATAGATATGCTAATGGAAGTATCCTTAACTGAACGTAGTGACTTAGGAATCGACTTGTTACCAGGGAATAATCTAATGGACTTAGAATATGCAGATGACATAGTCCTGTTAGGGGAGGATGCTGACAAAATGCAGAGTCTTCTGAACACCTTGAGCAGCAATCTTCGTATGTTTGGCATGCGATTCGCCCCTGCAAAATGTAAGATGCTGCTACAGGACTGGACGACGTCAACCCCTAACTTAGTGATAGGGAGTGAAGTGATAGAACATGTTGACCACTTCACCTACTTGGGAAGTTGTATTAGCACCAACGGACTGATTGGCGATGAAATCTCAGCACGGATCCGAAAAGCTCGAGCTGCTTTCGCTGACTTACACCATCTCTGGCGTAGGCGTGACATCCGGTTATCAACCAAGGGACGTGTGTACTGCTCATCAGTTCGCTCCGTCCTTCTCTATGGCTCTGAAACATGGCCAATACGCGTTGAAGACATGAAAAGGTTGACTGCTTTCGATCATAGATGTCTGCGATCTCTGTCTCACGTTAGGTGGTTTCACAAGATAAGTAATGTTGACGTTAGGCGTAGAGTGTTGGGCAAAGAGGGAAAATCAATCGACGAGGTTATAAAGTTACATAGACTAAGATGGCTAGGTCACGTGGTGCGCATGCCTAACCACCGCCTCCCCCGACGGGCATTGTTAGCTGATATAGGTTCAGGTTGGAAAAGAGCCAGTGGTGGCCAAACAAAAACATGGCATCAATCCATGAAATCCTTGACAGTTAAACTGAGTCAGGTAGGGAGATGCAGACTCCCGGGTTGGGGCCCTCGGGACTCTAGGAATCAATGGCTGGAGACAATAGGTGACATGGCTCAAAATCGTTGTCAATGGCGCAGATGTATTCAATCTCTGTAATCTTTCATATTCCTTTCTACCATTACCCATTCTGTTTCACTCTTATATTTGTCAAACTCTATTAATTCTCTTCACTCATCTTCTTGTCTACCTCTGTGTGCTATTTGGAACGTGGCAACTCGAACTGCTGCACTTCGGTGCCAAGTTCTATGTTGAATGCAGACAGACAATGTTGCTTTGGAAGTTTCGCTTACCCTAATAGCACAATATTTAATATACAGCTTTTTGAACCGACTACGGCAAACTTATAACAATTCAAGTCTTTCCTAATTTTAACCTGACAAATTCTATACTGTTTTCAAAGTCACGTTAGATTTTTTAATTTATGTGTACCGAGTTGGCCGGACTTGAAGACTACAAACTTAAAAGTGAATTGGTGTTACATAAATTCACAATTTCCAAAGCAACTCGACAAACGCACATGTTTGTGTACTAGACCATACGTCTGCGTCTGTTGTATAAAAACTAATGTAATCGAACACTAGAAGATTTCATGGTGTTCAAACATGCGGCTAAAAGTTAGAAGTAAAGCATTTAGGACAATAAAGCACAGTTCCGCAAGTGAATAATGGAATTAAATGTGTCTGTCTGTCTGTTTTCGACATAGAACTTTGTACAAATGTGCGGAAGTTCAAGTCGCCACATTCCGTGTAGCACGCGAAGCAAGAGAAGAAAGTACAAGAAAAGCATAGTAGAAACAGTGAGCAGAGGTGTGAGACAAAGGAGTAATAAAGAAATACAAAACAGTTTCATTGAAGATCATAAGTCACAAGGAGTGGATGCATCTGCGCCACTGAGAACGATTTTGAGCCATGTCACCAATTGTTTCCAACCATAGATTTTTACCGTCCCGAGGACCCCAGCCTGGAAGTCTACATCTTCCTACATGGCTTAGACCAACTGTTGTGGATTTCATTGACTGATGCCAAGTTTTTGTTTGACCGCCGCTAGCTTTTTTCCAGCCTGACCCTATATCCGCTAACATTGCTCGTCGAGGGAGGCGATGGCTTGGCATACGTAACACATGTCCTAACCATCTCAGTCTATGAAACTTCACAACCTCGTCGATTGATTTCCCCTCCTTACCTAGAACTCTACGCCTAACCTCAATGTTGCTCACCTTATTATGCCACTTTACACGGGAAATAGAACGCAGGCACCTATGATCAAAGGCAGCTAGTCTTTTCATGTCTTCCACTCTCAGTGGCCAGGTCTCACAACCATAAAGGAGGACGGAGCGGACTGATGAGCAGTACACCCGCCCTTTGGTCGATAGTCGAACATCTCGTCTACGCCAGAGTCGGCGTAAACTAACAAATGCGAAACGAGCCCCTTGTATTCGTGCTGAGATTTCGTCAGAGATCAGCCCGTTGGGGCTGATGGTACTTCCCAAATAAGTGAAGCGGTCAACGTGCTCTACCACTTCACTTCCTATTTTTAAACTAGGCGTCGATGTAGTCCAGTCCTGTAACATCATCTTGCATTTTGCGGGAGCGAATCGCATGCCAAACATTCGTAGATTGCGGCTCAAGGTGTTTAGAAGACTCTGCATTTCGTCAGCGTCTTCGCCTAGAAGGACTATATCGTCTGCATATTCCAAGTCAACGAGATTATTCCCCGGTAGCAAGTCAATCCCTGAATCGCTGAAGTCACCTAGGGTTAAGTCCATTAACAAATGTGTATAAAATCTAAAGTTTGCTCGAAATGGGTTTAAAAAGAGCTGGCATTTTAAATGACTGTTCAATAAGCTTTGAAAAATAGTACAAGTGATGTAATTAATTTCACACTTGTCTGAATAATACATATGATCAAACGCATTTTAAAATGGATGTCTACCACACAAAACTAACTGAAAGTTTAAGAGACATACTATCAGTTAAAGATACTACTTAATTATATAAAACGTTACCAAAGTGAAATTATAAAAGTGGACATACATCATAATCAAGTATTTAAACGACTGTTATACACTTCAAAAAAACAATCCATACAAAAACAAACAATTTAATATGTGTGATAATATGACGAAGAATAACTAATAATTCAAGCGGCATTGGGAAACTGAACTCTTATTACATGCATTTATTGATATAAATGATAAAATACGTGCCAAAAACTCAATGTACCTTCAAAAGCCCTAGAAATGGTGGATGAAGTGATTTCCCAAGAGGAAGTAAATGCTCCTCATAGATGTTAAATAGTGGCGGTTTAACTGTCATAGCAGATGGTTCAAGAAGTGCGAATAAGCCAGAACCGTAAATAGGAAGATCATTGGCGATACGTTCAGGTCCCAAAGTACGAAAAATTACATCGTAGCATTCCAAAGCTTTGCAGTGAACACCCGCAGGTAGAGCAGGATGAAGACATTGAGCAAGGCGTTTACCAATAACAAAACTTCGAGGTATGTAACCAGATTTCGTGTTTGACTGAATAACCTACAAATAATTCAAGAATAGACTGAAACGAAGCGTTTTGCTAAGATTTGAATAGATGAATAAATTTAAGAAGTCTACAGTTAGTCATATTCAGTGTATCTTACCATAAATGTCCAGTGACCAAGGTATATTTTTCGGAATACACACATGCAGTTACAGTACAACATAATGCTCCTAAGATATGTCGTGAAGCACAAGGTCACTGGTTATAAGCCAGGCAGATAATATTGGTTCCCTAACACAATATTCAATAGATTGGAAAATCAGTTCACATCTTGTAAATAAGTTGAGGTGTAATAAGCAGCAAAATATATATTAAACAAAATGGTACAATGATGAATAAGTAAATACAGAGTACTACTGAAGATAGAAAACAAACCCTCATTTTACACTGCTGTATCAGGAGTATGTAAACCTGTGTTGCGTTTTTTTTGGAAAATTAAACATGTTTTCTTTGTCGTATTTAAATTGCTTACTCGCAAAATCAGTGTGATTGTTGCTTTCAATCCAACGACAGGCAACTGGTGCAAGAAATGTCTATTTCCCACAAGAAACCAGTATAATCACACGATCTCCCCCATGTCACCCTCGCATTGACGACCCACTCGTCGCTTCCTATTGAGATTCTACACGAGGGCCTAGAGCGCGACGTCATTCGATGGCCTCAATGTATGCCAAATCCATCTGTTGATTAGTGACCTTGTAATATATTTACCAAAACTCGTTCTGGAAAAACATCTCTGCGAATAAAAATAGTTTCGTCTGAAGTTCAAAAGACTGAAACAAACAGCTGACAGGCTTACTCAAAGGCACTTACAGCAGGAAGTGTCCAATACTTGGGAAACACCAAGGTGATAAAAATGGAACAGGAGTGGGATTCAACAGTCGTGTTCGAGCCGATAATTCTCCGATCGAATTAAATGCCTAATTCGTTAGATCGCAAACCAGTGATAAGCCGTATCATTAAATTGCAGGTCCATTCTATGAGTAATTATAATTTCTTAAGGTATGTTGTAACACCAGACAAAACAAAAGTACAGAGTATGAAGACACTTGGTATTTGTTTTAACCCGAAAATATCACATCTAGCCGGGTTTTGGGGCAAATAGGATTATTATCTGTCTGTAATAACTCGAAATATATATACGTTTGCAGACAACAACAAAAAACACTAGTAATTTCAGAGATTTCAAAAAGCTACCACTAGCATAATGTCTTCTTCAACAGCAATGTCTAATCATTCACGCTCTTGATAACTGAAATAATCTGTAAAAAATACTGCATACGTAGGTAAGTGCCTATTGCGATTACCAATTAAAACTCAAAAGAATACCAGAAAGTTACCACATCTTACTTTAATAAGGCGTCCAAGTGCAGATATCAGATCAGCCCATTCTGCAGAATATTCGAAACTTTTCAGTGATTTGTCGACTGAAGCGACGAAACTCTTATATTTAGCATCCTTTAATAAGTCCGATTCGTCCATACGACCTTCACATTCAAATTCAGCAGACAAACTTATGGGTAATATTGCATGAAATAAACATTTCAGATTTCAGATTTATTGGCTTAGGATAGAAGGCTCGGAGCCTATGTGAATCCAAACCCTCCTTAAATGAATCAGTTGAGGTTGCAGACACCACTTCTTCTAGGAGTCGGTTCCATGAGTTTATGACTCTCTGTTAGAACAAGTTCTCAAACGCAGTATGATTTCCTCTTGGCTTTTGAACACTCCTGCTACGTCCTCTGAGGTGTTCCGACCTGGTGAGAGGGAAAAGAGAGAATAAGTCAAGTTCGCAGTCATTATTTAAAATTTAAACATTGTAATTTAATCTCTCTGCCTGATGTATGACGAGGAAGAGATTTAAACTATCTAGTCTTTCCTTGTATGACAAGTTGGTCATGCCGAGAACCATACGTGTTGCCTTCCTTTGAGACCTTTCTAGAATTTTTGAGTCCTCTTCAAGACAAGGAACGGTGGCCTGGATACAGTCTTGGCTTCACTGCAGATGTTAATAAGGAGGTAAACATATCTCTTGTGATTCCAATAACGGTTCTGAGAATCACCGATAAGAATCTGAAACTGCGTGCAGCTACCACTTGACAGTGTGCTGTAGTTTTTAAATAGTGATTTACTATAACACCTCAATACTAATGAGTCTGAAGTGATGAGAGTGTTTTTCCCCCTAGTTCGTAGTAGCTGATGCTTGCTTGTCCGATGAGAATGGCTGAACATTTCGCTACGTTGATCCAGAGAATCCATTCTCCTGACCACCCTGACAATTTGTCGAGGTCTTCTTGCAACACGAGCATATCTCTGTTTCCTTTCAACTCTCTCCAGATTTTTTAGTCATCTGTGCATAGGACCATAGGGGAATCTGTGAGCAGAGATAACTCATAGATATACGCAATAAATAGAAGTCTGAGTACTGTGTCTTGTGGCACTCCACTATACACTGTTGTCCGGTAGGAGACTTTCGTGTTGATCCTGACCCTCGGCCTCTTATGTATGAGGAATTTGCTAATTCAGTTTAGTAATCTGCCTGTGATACCAAAACTTTCCAACTTCATAAGTAGCCCTTCATGAGGAACTTTATCGAAGGCTTTGGTGAAGTCTATGAAGACGATGACAGTGGGTCTTCTGTTGTCCTTTGATTCAAAGTGGCTTTCTCATGCAGTGAGATGATTTGGCAGGCATGAGAGGTTTCCTCGAAAGCTAGCGCTGTGCTCTGGATAACAGATTGGTGACACTTTTTTGATGATTCTTTCCAGTGTCCTGACTAAAACTCTGGTGAGAGTAATCGGCCTACAATTTGAAGGGCATTGTTCCGAGACTCCTTTGTGGATTGGGGTTACAACGGCCTATTTCCAGCCACGCGGTAACACTCCATTTTAGAGAGCCTGCTATGTGAGCCGATAATCCCTTCAGAAGCCTTGGATGTAGATTATCAGGACCCATTGATTTCCCTGCATCTAGTTTGATTGGGCATGATGTCTTGGTCGACGTCAACGGAATCTACCATGTGTTCCTCTGATGCAGACAGGGCTGATCCTATGGAGAGTGACGACTCCCGCATAAAGACCTGGAAGAAGAAGTCCGCCATTGCTTCTGCTTTTTCTTGATCTTCTTCGGTTGTGTCATTGTCAATTTTCAAGTTTGGGACACCATTGTACGTTTTATTCCTGGAGTTCATACATGAAAACATATTCTTAGGTTATCCCTTTGCATTATGAGTCAGTTATGCTAAGAACATCGTCCTTGTTGGCGAATTTCTACAGTCGCTTTGTTCCTAGCAGTGTTGTGTAATTTCCTGGTCTCAGGAGTCCCAAGTGTGGCAAACGGTTTTCAACACTTATGTTTACATCTAATTAACTTACGAATCTCTTGGTTTATCCAAGGAGGTGGGGCAAAGTTTCCAACCCTTTGGGACAGACAAAGTAATGAAAGGTCTGGTTACATGAGCGTAAATTAGTTGAAATTATTTCTACTTCGGATTATTCGATGGTGAACCAGTTCAGTGAGTTGGCTGCTTAGACGACCTCATTTAAATCAAAAAGCCTCAAGTGTCTGGTCGAGCTGGGATTTCCCCTATTAGGCTGTTGTTGTGAGCTTGAAAGTGAGCACGGCGTGAACAATTCTTCCTAAAGGAGGAAGATGTTGTTTGAGATCCACATCCTCATCGTGGAAGAATACTAGGTCCAGAGTTGATGAGGAGTGCTGTCGGCCACGTTTCATAAACCGGTAATGCCTAGCTCTTGCTACGCTCGGGCTCACGCTGTTCTTCGAAGTTTCTCAGAAAGGCTTAGTAATAACAGACGAAAAATCCAAAACACCAATTGGTGACTCGAGGATTCTTTATAGTAACACCAACATATAGAAAATGTTCTCAATGGAGTTGAAGATTGAACGATCAATTCTTGGTTGTTTGCTCAAAATCAACTTCCCCAATTTTCGCGGAGGCATCAATACGACAGTCATCGTCTCATCGGTCGCTGTTCAGAAAGAAGAGTGAAACATCGTCAGAAGTAATACAATGATTTATTATTGTAATATTTGTTTTCAGACCTCAGTTGCTTAGTTCGCTTATTCCTTTTATATGTTGGTGTAACAATAAACAAATATCAAGCGGCAGATCGGTGTTTTGGTTTTTGCGTCCGTTATAACTAAGCGTTTCTGAGAAAACTTCTAAGAACAGCGTGGGCCCGAGCGTAGCGAGAGCTGGGCATTAACGGTTTATGAGACTTTGATGACAGTTTCTGACGATAGAAACAGATCTGGCGGATTCAAACAGTTGGTGAAAGTTTGGATAGTCACCGTTCATCTTTCCTGGTGCCGGTCAAGTCCTCTTTGAACAAGCAATATCTGGAACGTTTTTGGAATTGGGTCAAGTTCAACAATGCCTGGGTCAAAGAAGGGACAGAGTGTCTTGGATGCAAACAGGAAAGTAAGTCATGGTGACTTGTCTGTTAATTGTAACGATGTGTCTGATGTTAAGCATGACATGGTTGATGTCACTGTTTCGCCGTTCAGGGATAATGGGAACATCAAACTCCCTAAATTTGAACCACGGTGTTTCGACGGAAACCCGACTGATTATTTACAGTTTGCAAGAGAATTTGAAATCATGTTAATTGGTTTTTTATTAAATGATGAAATGAAGTTAATGTATTTGATGAGGTATTGCACTGGAGATGCTGCAAGAGCTATACAGTGCTGTAAGTTTATGAAGCCAAAAGAGGGCTACTACGAGGCTATGAGCATATTACGTTAAAGGTTTGGAAGACCTTCGATGATTGTAGGGAAATTATTCGAGGCTGTTAAGGGTAATGGTGGTCAATTACAGGATGACTCACAGGCACTCACTGAGTTTTTAGATAATTTGCTAATTTACAAGAATGCATTGATTTCGATGAATCGCATGAGTGACCTCAACTCGAGTTTTATACTAGAAGTAATAGCAAGACGTCTACCTACTCGACTGCAAAGGAAGTGGGTGAAGATAAGCTCCCGTATGGAGGATGAGGGTATCGAGCCAAAGTTTGATGATATCCTGAAACTGGTAAATAATAGTGTCAATCAATCTATGAGCAAGTTCGCCAGTCTATTACATCTCACCCCTAGAATAGAGCAGTCTGAGGGCAAAATGCAATCATTGATGACGAGTAGGCCTCAGAGAGGTGGATATCGAGAAGGCTCCATGATGTCTAGTAATGCATATAGACCTAGTGAGTGTAACAGGATTCGTAGTACATCCTCAACAGATACGTTGCAAGCTGCAAGACAAAAACGGTTGTGTTTTACACGTTTGCAAGATGTGCATACAAAGGTGAGCTGTGAATCGGTGAGCAAGTTCAGTGATAAGCTAAAGGTGAAATCAAGTTCTGACTCCGAATTGTGTGACGATAACGGTGCGGTGAGGAAGTCTGTAATTGCAACTGGTAAGCCATTGTTGAATAGAGTGTCACAGCATAGAGTTATTGCTTCAGAGTGCAGTTCTGACTGCACAAGTTTACAAGGTATTACTAGTCAGAGTGAAGGTATAAAATCTTTAGGGATTTGTGAGGAAGAACTAAAAGTGTTTACTTCTGTTAATAAAGAGTTTGAAAATGATGAAGTCGACCAGATAGATGATGGTAAATTGAATATTTGTGGTAATGATCATGATAGTGCAGATTTGTCTTTGGTTGATCATGATGAAATGAGGGGAATGCCTACTACTGCTAAGTTAAATAAAGGTTCTGTACAACTACAACGTGAAGTAGAATTGAACGCAGATGCAGTTGCAGAAGGTATGGATACTTGTGAGACCGTCAGTGTAATTGATCAGCGTGTAGCCCACCTAACATCAGATGCCAGTGCTAAGCCTGTGCTGATATTAAAAACGGCAGTGGTGGTGGTCTCGCTAGTAGACGAATTTCTGAATGTTGAGGAACAACAGCTTTTGATCCACCGCTAAATTGATCAACTGATATCAATCAATCGTCGTTCGTGCTGTCATCCACAATGAAACAGACACCCATCATTTCAAGTATCTTGTGCAATGACTATGATAGTATCAGTTCGTTTGAAAGGACGAATATCAATGGTCATTATAGTGAGCATAAGCCAAGTGTAAACGAGAGAGTAATTGTTAAATTGACTTGCACGAATAAAGCCATTTCTAGTTTCAAGTTACTATTTGAATGTTATTATCTTTGGTGTAAATTACTCTATTTCCAAACTAGGTTGATGAGATATGTCGAGGGTTTGTTCGTCATCTATATTCTACGATACAATGACATGAGCGTGTTACCGTTTTGATTTGAGGATATAGCTGATAGAAGGAAGTCAGCAAATGAACTCTGCGACGATTTTCCAACCTAAGGCGTCAACCTGAGAAGGGTTGTAGGCGTACTGCTGTAAGTCCTAAAGTTCTTCAAAGGATAGCGCATCAATGAGCAGTCCAATGTGCTTGGTGTATGATCTTGTACATATGTTCATATTGTATATACTGAATTGATATCATCTGTCATC